TTCGCAACATGGTCATATTGGTAAGGAGACTTAGTGGAATGCACCTAGTGCGGGGTCCATTGTCTGCATGATCATTTCCAAAGTCGAACCGTGGACGTGGTACATTAATAAATTAATAAAAGTGGAAGCCCCTTAAGACAGGACATTTTATTCTCTGCGTATGCCTCCTATATATACTAGTTTTACTTTACATTAATTATGCTACTGCCTGTACACTTTTATCGACACTGATCTCATTATTTAATCCCTTCTGATCAGTCGCCAAACAGCTCAGTTCCTTATGCTCGCAAATGTTTTCTAGCCAGAGGACCCAATCCCAGACTTCATCTACTCCCAGCAGACGCCACTTTGTCTTCAGGGGAGCCTATCAAACTCGGACGTCGGGCCCAACCTTCGGGACCTTCAATAAATTACTTCCCATCCCACCACCGCACACTGGCTGTAGGACCATGTCTATCGCTCCGACGCGGACCCCAAGCGGCCTATTGGTCCGGGTCTGATTCGCGATTGCTTTGTGGACCCCAACCACGTTGCCTGACTTCCAAAACTCCAAGAGTCGCCTGTTAACCGTACTAGGATTGGATTGAGTCCCCCAAGCTCTTGGAGACAACAGATTCGAGCATTTGGCTGGTCCCCGTCCCTTTAATTTTATGCAGCACGCTCTACTTGATAGGATTACGAGTGGCCCTAAAACAACGACCTACCTTACTTCAATCGTCATGCTTCACAAGTTCAGCTACCACTCAGAACATTATCCTAACTGGGTTCATCCGCATTCCTACCATCCAAAGCGTACTACTTCCCCCAATAAACAACCCTGATTTCCATCTAGTATTTCCAGCTTGACTGAGCCTGAAGCATTTCACCGTAATCCCACGCAGGAGTCTAATACATGTCCTAGTTTTCCTTGCCTTACTTATTAGTTTTCACATTTCGATATGCTTATATCCTTAAAAAAGTCCATCCCATATAGATCACCTTCAGTTGCAAACATTACGACTAAACCAATTGGCAGTCTCTGAGCTGGGCTATGGCATTGCTAATGAGCGGCTCACACGAATCACTTATTTGCATCCTTCATCTCGAAACTTATCTGTACATTTACCCCTTTCTGCCTACAGGCCTATGCGTGTATAGTAGTTTGAACCTTCCCATTTTTTCTGACTCACGAGTGTGATTATACGTCCAACTTTGATAAACAAGTCCCAGCCCCCCTTATATTATACACATGTGATCGGCGACCTGTGAATCAAGTGGGACGGGGAAGCAAAATCTGTTCACTCAACAGACAAGAATTGGATTAAACTTCCTAATTTCAATTACACCTACACGCCACGGACAATTGTATTTTTCATCCTTAATATGGCCCTGATGATTCGTGGCTGGAGTCTGTTCAGAATTAATACCGATTGTGCACGATTTCTAATTGCTTTCAACTCTTACTTTAATAAGAACATACACCAAACTTCTCATTATCATTTCGATCCAGCCAATTATGAAATAAACAAAACTTTGCGAAATTATGTAATATTTTGCTTTCGGTAACTCATCCAGCAGGACACCAAGACATTTAATTTGTTGTTCTATCATGCTTCGTCGATAATATACAAAAACCAGGCTGAGTTATTTCAATGAATTCCTCCATCATTCAAGCTTTATGGCTCTATTAGTTCCGGGCAATAAAGTTATCAGGTATTCATAGACAGATAATCAGAATAAGCTGGTGCCTGACCTAAAAATTTCCAGGAATATAGTGCAATTGGTCTTTTTGTCAAGCCACTATGAGAGGAAATGGCGTCTGAAAATGTAGTGCTTAATTCTCTTTCTATCCAAAAGCATATCTTTTATAATCAAGTTATCCGGCCTAATAGGTTCCTTTTTTCACCAACGGGAGGCGATTACATTGAAAATTAGAATCAGGTAATTTGGTTTGGACGAATGAGTGAAGTTACTTGTGCCACGGATTAGTAAACGGGCCCATCACGTGGCCTTAGGGTCTAGTAAGAGGTCTCAGGGGCATTTTGGAAAGTTTGTATTGTGGAGCACAGAAAAAGATGCGAGAGTGGGCGATAAAAGCAGGGGCTTAGGCGCGTAAGAAGTGTGATGAAAATATAATGTAGAGTGGAGACAAAGGGCTATAAATGGACAATATGAGAATAAATGGGAAATCCAAGGTAATTGCTAAATCATAAGCCACCTGATATTGGAGATAATGAAGGCTCGGACTAGCCAGTAAACTGTTGGTTGCGGATAGTTGTAGATTATCCAGGTATGGAGAAATCAGCAAACGGGCAAATCATGAAATCAAGACATGGGGGCAGAATAAGGGCGTGGGCGCTGTGAAGCTAGGCGGGGTTGTCTATAAAAAACAAGTGGAGGCCCAATTTTATAGTGTCCGAATATGTTGGGATTTGCTGATTGTTCGTAAACTAGGAGTAGTATGTCAATGCCCAGTATAAAAGGTGCTCCTATGGAGATGAAAGGCTTTCCCAAAGTTTTTTTCACTAAGAACCAACTATATCAAAACATAGAAAGTGAGTAGATTGGGAGAGCTACTGGGGCAGAAAGAATTTACTAGGCGATTGCATAGGCCTAGTCAATCCACGGTGCTCAGATGATCTCGGCTACGTTGACAGGTAGTTCTTCAATTTTTGTGTTGTAGAAGGCCTCCAACTCACGTAAAGCCCGCTGATCTTCTAGAGTGACTAGATTAATGGCTGTCCCCTTACGTCCAAAACGACCACCGCGACCAATACTGGCAATAAAAATGACAGAAAACAGCTCAAATTAGTAACGGTTTGTGAATGTAAGATAGTGAAAAAATAATTTGCTATACCGATATAGCTGATTTCTCGTTAGTTAATAACTATAATAAAAGTAAAGTAGATCATGTCTGCAAGGGAAATCAAAACACAAAGCTTTCATTTCCATTATATGAGACATCAGGAAAACTGATTTAGAGTTGTTTACAAGTTAAAAAAGTTTACATTATGCAAGCTAGTAATTGAATGATACATCTGTGTTGATGGAGTATCTAAGTAAAATATATTTTTCGTGTAAGTAGAGTCTCGAGAGTACCAGTAAAGCAGTCATATGAGATGTATTCACCCTATTTCATTTAAGGTGACGAAGGACTGGTAGTAGAATTTACCCACATTGATATGAGTAGAGCCAACATTTCCATTAAATTTCGCATAGCCTGGTTTTCCCAAAAGGATCCATCTTGGATGGGAACAACTTTTGGGAAAGCAAGGCTATGTGAAATTCAATGAAAACGTCAGCTCTACTCATATCAT